GATGGGCTGAATTGCACAAAACGCATGATCGCACCAGCTAGTCTGGTGCGAGTTGCCATTTATTTAAAACCGGTTTCTGTATTTTACAATTTTTAGGCTTGTTGAAATTAGCTTCGGCATTGGATTTTGAGCAGCTGGAAAGATTTTCGGTGACTGTAATTGCAACGGATTCTGGTTTACCTCCTCTAAGCTCAGAATGTACAATAGATGTCGAAGTTCTGGATGTAAATGACAATCCACCACATTTCGGCCAGGCTGTGTACAAAGCTGCGGTAATGGAAAACTTGGATCCGGGCACCAAGGTGTTGCAGGTGTGAATTAAATTTGACTAAATAATCAGTTCTCTTTCTCAACACTGTAGATTTTTGGAATAAATTCTGCACCTCCTAAGTTTAAAGTGTGTTTACAACCGCAGCGCTTCAAATTTTCCACATCTTGCACTTTGCATTTTAAGCATAACGAATTCAACATCCTAACATTTTCTTGTTTAATTTTTTGTTATGTTTTGCTGAAAGTATGGTAACCAGAATTTGATGGATTCATGAACTTCCTTTTACTAGGTTCTGGCGCACGATCCAGACAGCGAGCATTTTGGCCGAGTGTCTTATGAGATAACCAGTGATGCGGTTGCATTCCACATTGCTGAGGATGGTTGGATCACAACCACGGAGAAGCTCGATCGTGAACTGGTACGCCCTATGCATTGTTTGTTGCTTCATTTGTCCAAGCCTGTTTAACCAGCATTCCATACATGTTCCAAGAATATCTTTAACTGTAGCGCAGTTATCAGTTTGCGAGGAAATAACTGTTCATAACTGTGAAATCGTTTGTGCATCGTTCCAGAAGAGTAGTCATCGTTTAACCGTAAAAGCGACAGATGGAGGCACACCGCCGTTGTCGGATATCGCTATTGTGGAAATTGAGGTGGAGGACCAGAACGATAACGCGCCTGTTTTCAAACACTGCAATATGACTGCTGTCGTACAGGTATTACTTTTATAATTTGTTACTACAGCAAATTGTGCACTGGCTCATCTGGAGACAGCAGTCAGCCATACTTTTGTTGTGGAGAGGGCGTCAGAGTTGTTTTCCATAAGAATGGATTCAAAAATCTGGGTTAAGAAAAGCAAATTTCCGCGAAATGAGCGCAAATTTTAGTGAAAATCATTTGCAGCCACACCAGGCTTATCGGTGCGATCATGCATTTTTGCA